TTTAGTGAAAAATGGTAATTTTACATATGTTTGATATAGTATTTCTATTTTTATGTTGTATGTTTATATATTATTGAAAATTAGTAATATTAAAATGTAAAACTTTAAATTTGCCATGTGGCATCTTTTTGAATAGGGTTATTATGATGAGGTGGACGCTCCCATGAGCCTCGATTAGTCCCTTTTAATAGTATAGATTCGGATATTAGCTACGACTTACCAGCAGAAAGATATACCACATAATCTTTTATTAGAGAACCCTTGAAAATCTCATGTTACAAATTCCGAAAAATAAACATTCTCAGGAAGACAATCACATTCAAAACTAAACCAAACCTCATCATTTGGACTGGTTCAATCTTAATCTAAACATACATTAACATTATTATCCTTAGTCGACTCCCTAGCTCAAATGTACTCTTTGGTCATGACGAAAAGAGTCTTTAAGATCATTTGTTCGAATACTGGCCATAGGAATGAATCTCGTTTGAATTTTTCTGGTCTCCGGTCCAAAGAGATTATAGACTTGGTCCAAACCAAAACATGTAGTATATAACCTTACTTTCACTCCACGCCAACCACTATATCTGCCGGCTTCTCGACTCGAACCTCCACATCCGTCCGATCAATAACGTTACCATCGTACTCCTTGAAGCAAGCGACCGTTCCCAACTCCTCCACTTCCTCAATGACATTATCAAGCCTCGCAACCATTTCAACAAGAAGCGATGCAAACGCAGCAAACGGTAACGCCTCCGAGAATTCAAGACTCGTCATCACCACTATCCTGCTCAGTTGTTTCATCAGTATACGTCGCTCTCCCGTCGCCGCCGCCGATCTCCGTTCCAACGTGTCAGCCCTCAGTCCGAAACGCGATCCTCTTTCGCCGCGTGGCGTTTCATTGTTTTGACTCAAAACGCCACTGTTTGGTCCGAAACGTGACTTGTTTCCGCCGCGTGGCGTTCCATTGTTTTGAACTGGAACGTCACCATTTTTACCAAGAGGTGATTCAGGCTCGTTTTGATGCGAAACGCCGCTGTTTGGTCCGAAACGCGATTTTTTTTCGCGGCGTGGCGTTCCAGTGTTTTGAAGCGGAACGTCAGCGTTTTGTGCAAGAGGTGAGCCAGTCTCGTTTTGATGCGATATAGCGTCATTTTCGTCTTTATTTGTGTGTGGTGAAACCGGTACGTTTTGGTTATGTCTACCGCTATTGCCGTTTTGAGAAACGTTGCTGTTGTGGTTGGAGCCAAGGAAGAGCTTAGGTTGTGATTTGATGGCGGAGTTTAGATCTTGTAGTGCCACTTGGAGACTCTCGGAGAGAATCTCCGGGGAACATTGACGTCGGTTTTGAATGCTTGCTGCAAGTTCCGTCAGAACTTTGCAGATTTCTTGGGCGAGTCTAGCGCATGGATCCTTGAATAGTACACGAATATACCTAGGAGTCTTCAAGGTTTAAATAAACACACAATTACAGTATATCAGATCGTTAATTAATTGATAGGAAAAAAATAATTAGGTAACTGAAAAATTACTAAAGTTTTTGTTAACATATGATAAAATGTGCACCAAACAAATTTTGATGAATTTTAGCACGTGATTTATTGCACATAAAGTATTTTTATTTAGTATTTCTATAAGGATTATAAAACTCCCTCCGTTTCAGTGTCGTTGTAGAGAATTTTTTGCGTTACAAAATAAGTGTTGTTTTCGGTTTTCAATACAAAATTTATTAATTTTATTATGTAATTTTTTTTTCTATTGGTTAAAATATGGTTACGTGTATAGATTATTGTGTTTTTATATAGAAAATATGTAAAATTAATTGTTTCCTTAATCCGTGTGCACAGCTGTGGAGTGACACTTATAATGAACCCGAAGGAGTACATGTTAGTAATATATTACAAAAATTAACGCATTCCCTTGAATTTAAATCAGAAAGCTAAAATCAACCAATTCATTTTCTTAGTTTTTGTCATATTTTTGCTATTATACATTTAATATATCCAATTTATTTTAATTTTAATCTACCTGAATTTCGGTTTTTAAGCAACCATGAAGAGCCACGACAGTGTAACCAAACTGACGAAGAACAGCTCCAACTTTAACATAATGTTGCCCTGGGAATCTATGACAATGTCTTGTGTGCCTTGGCTCCCAACTTGCATACATTGCCTGTAAATATACATGTTCTCATCTAATTCAACACTTTTTTGATAGATTTTTCTTTGTTTCTTTGAGATCTGAAGTAGATGTTCGATTTAAATAACTTACAAGTGCTTCATCGGTGGATTTAGAATCTAAAACAGTCTTATAACCATCATAGATCATATCTTCTGATGAATCTGATGTTTCCTTGTCTTTTTCCTCCTCTTCAAAGTACTCTTTCACACATGCTAAGAGAAATAACACATAATAATCAAAGTTAATAAGTTGAAAAATTAAAATAAAATATCATGGTCGGAGAAAAAAATCACAAATAACATACTGAAACACCCAAATAATTGGATCTAACAAAGTTTTCTAACTTAGGATCATAATATCTCTTTCTTGATAAAGTTTATTGATTCCAAAATTAAAACTCAAGAATCCTTCACTAATTTCATGTTTGTATCCATATGTAACATATACCTTCGATGGAAAAAGAGAGGCCTTGAAGCTTAGCAACGGTACTCTTATGGAGGTCCTCACCGGACCATATAGGAAAAAACAAAAGGGTCGTGCAGAGGCAAACACCAACACCAATGGCTATAGTATAAAATCTCTCGTGTGCAATCTTAATCACAGCATCAACTCTATAACTTGACACTGTTATTAGATTAAACGTCAAGAGAAATATAAGCATGCCGTAATCGTAATTCTTTTTTATGTACGGGATGAATCTTAGATACGTTATCGCCGCTCCTGTAACATAAAGAAAACATTCAAATTAATACATGATCGTAGAGAAAAACTTGTGGTTGCATATGTCGTATTCGTTTTTGAAATCATTCATTATTAGATGCTAAAGTCTTCATAGTTTAACAAATACATACCAATGATAAAAACTGAAGCACCGATGAAAACTGCTCGGAAGATTTTGCCAGAATCTTTAACGACAAATTCAATGAAAAATGCTAAAGATCCCGCAATTAGTGTCCCTAATCCTCTATTAAGCCCTTTGCACAACGTTGCACCTGAATTAAAATAAAACACCATTTACATCATTAAGAACATATATGAGCTTACACAACATATTAATATACTGATCTCTATAGCTATTCGCCTATTCTTACAGGCAAAGTATCTTTGTCCATGCATTGAAACTATTTGAAATTTGTGAAGAAAATGCTATAGTTACCGGCAGAGAACTCAAGAACGACCACAACAGTCAAGACTGCCCACATTGCATTACTTCCAATGCCTTTAAAGAGAGGTTCTAGGAGATACAATAAGGAGACAAGTGTCAAAGAAACTCCAACTTTTAAAGCATGTTTCACTCTTCTTGGATCATCTTTCCCAACTTTCCATATATCTTTTAGAATCTTCTTTGGAAGCTCTTGAATCTTTCTAGTTGCATTTTTAGAACTTTCTCCCATCTCCACCCCCCTTTCATGAATCTTGTTGGACATTTGTCTGTTTCTTGTTTTGGATTTTTTTTTTAAAGTGAGGAATGATCAATCAATATGCTAGAGTTTTTGGTGTTGCTGCACTCTCTATATATAATTACACGCATATACGAAAACAATACATGTGTCTTATTGCCTATGTATAATTATTTATTTTGTAGAGATACTTATTTGTTGCGTGAGTGTGACATGATGGTCTGTCTGTTTTTTATGGCATGGTATTAATATATAGTTGGATGTTGTTGTACTAACTTTATTTATGAAATGCTCTTACTATTTTACTAGGTGTTTTGCCCACATTTGTGAGCCTAAACATTTTATAATTATTTTTAATATATCTTTTACTAATTGAAAGATTATAATGATAAAATAATAGTTGTGTTTTATTTTTTGAAACCAATAATATTTATACTTTTATTTAACAATTCTTACATCTATTTCTTTGTAATTTATGTTCACTATTATAAATAATTTTAAATCAAATAAGATTTTTTCAATTATATAAAATTAAGAAGTTGACTTGATTAATATTTACTTATGTATTTTATATTGTTTTAAATGTTAACTTTTTATCAGAATATATTTTCAGATAACATAACAATATATATCGGAATTATCTTATTTAAGAAAAAAATTTATTTAGATTTTGGATAATTCTTATAATTATTATTAGTTAGTTACTTATCTAATCAAAATAATTTAAATTCGTTTTTATTTTGTATGTAATTTATATATTATTTTCATTAAGGGTATAAACAATATTAACCGCTCTAACTTTTAACTTGGGAGATTCGTTGCGAAAAATCACTTCGCAAATAATAGTATATATTATATTTTTTATTAAAACATAGTCTTGATTATTTTGATGGAAAAATCGTATATTGTTATGTTCAAATAAAAAAGTGGAAAAATCTTATATTGCTATGTTTCTATATGTTTTGAACTGTATATAATTTACAAATTACAACCTTAGAAAACAAGTTGAGTTTTAAAACATATTCTTGTTCAGTTATAAGTGAAGAGAGATCTGGAATGATTGGTTTCACATGGCTTGCAACAATTTGATAAGTACTCATACATAATGGATTGTTCTCTGTATTTTCTCATTTTCCCATTAATACCGGGGAAAAGTCAAGATATACTAAATCTAAAAATTAGTGGCCGTTCACTAAAAACTGATAGACGTTCCATACTGCACCTTGTATATTATAAATTAAATGTCCCAATTATTTTGGATTCACGGTTTATATGCATGCATGTGGCACCCAATTCATTCAAAATAATGTTAACAATATTTAAGAAAAACAATGTTAACATATGTCGCCTATGGCTCTGCGTGCAGATCTAAATCAGATCTTAGTTTGCTAGATTAACAAAAAAATTTTTTTGTTGTCAAAAAGTAGATTAAACATATCTCAATCTAGAAGTAGGCTAGATAGTTTCTTTAAACTGTCTTTTTTTCAAATGAACTGTCTTTACATTGATAATGTTAAAGTCATCATAACCAACAAATAAAAGTGACAACAAGTATTAGACAAATGACTTTGCGTCTTTGAAATTCGATGTTGTTTTTAACCTAACTCATTGAAAAGCTTAATTAATACTATACACAAGTGAAAATGAATTTGATTTTGTGAGTGAGAATTTGTTATCAACACGATAAAGACCTATAGTTTGTCGTGTTAGGGTGAAATATTAGTATTTGTCAACAACCTGGTGACAGCAGAAGACTGAAAAGGAAGTAATATATTATTGAAATAAGTAGTTAAATTGATCTACCTATGAGTCTATGACTCTTCGACGTAGTAATCACAAGTAGTAAATAGGTAACCATCCAAAAGTTTAACATGTATTTAATGACGGCGACAAGGACACACCAATATATAAATTAGGAACACTAATGATATGGTTTCCTCGGCCTTAAACTACTACCTTTGATCACATATATACTGATTTAGCGATAGACAAAATATTACAATACAGTATATGCAAGTTGCCCGGGACCTTGTAATAAAATGGTAAAGAGACCGGGACCTTGTGATAAAATGGTAAAAAGAGGGGTTTAAGGACTTCATTATCGGTGGTTCCTTAAATCAAGTCCCTTAACGTAAAATCCTTTAGTTTTTAACTAAAAACGCTAAAGAACATTTCTTAAATAAGAGATTTACGAGATATCTCTTAGCGTTTTTAATTAAAAGTTAAGAGACTTTACGTTAAAAGACCCAACTTAAAGAACCACCAATACCAATACATTTCAGATTAACTAAGTCACATTCACATTGTTCATAAACACCTATACAATATGAGTTCATGTTCATGATCTATTTGCATATTCAGAGAGAAATCTATCTATAAACTATATTTTCGTTTAGAGATTGATTTGGACTCTTCTATAGATTGGAGATACTCCAGATTCATAACAATAAAACAATATATGCAAGTTTTTTCATACTGTTCGGCAAAATAAATCTAATTATTAACTAGATCTTGATCCGTACAACCGTATGGGTTATTTTTTTAATACTAAAATGTTTTAAGTTATCAAATAAAATTTATCAATAAACTAATATATTTGGTATTATATTCTATTTGTTTCAAAAGAATATTTTTTTTTTAGAATTATTACACATATTAAGAAAACATGTAAATAAATGCATTAGTTTATGTGATTAACTGTTTTCAATAATTTTTAACCAGTCAAAATTCAATTAACACAATTAATATTTTTGAGTTTCACAATATATCATTATTTATTGCATTGAAGATGTAAAATATAGATCTTTAAGAAACAGTTTTCTAAAACATGGATCATTTTGAAAGAGACGGAGATCTAACTTTATAATAATGTTTGTGTGGCTTATACTATTAATACTATAAAATTTATACATTTTTATTTTTTTATAAAAATGTTTTAAAACATTAATATTTAAAATACTAATTTACATATATTTGTTTCTTACTTCTAAATTTGGAAAATATGCAGAAATTAAATTAAGTTGGAATTACACAATAGAGAAGCCAATCTTTTGGATATTGCTAAAATTATTTTACATAATTGCTAAAAGTATTTTACATAATTGCTAATTTTTTTATAAATAAAATAATAGATTATAAGTTTAATTGTATTTTATGATAGTTAATTTTTAACTAATTTTAAAAGATTCTAAAATATTTTAAAAATATTTTGCTAGAATTTTCATGAAAAGATATCATAAATATTTTATGTAAAGTTTAATAAACTTTTAGGATGGTTTAAATTAAAAAATCACATATGAAAGAAGTTAAGACTTCTATTTAAATAATAATTACATATATTTTTGCTTTATATCTAAATTTTAAATATATTTTAAAATATAATTAAACTGAAACTACACAATAGAGAATCAAAATTTTGGGATGTTGTTAAAACTATTTTACATAATTTATTATTTTTGCTTATAAATCAAAAAGGAATTAAACTTAATTATATTTCATGATAATTAAAACTTTAACTTATTTTCTAAAATACATTTTAAAAATATTCTAAAAGATATTAAAAATATTTTGTTAGAATTTTCATATAAAAATATTGATTTATATTTTGATTAAACATTAAAGATATGAAAAGATATTATAATTATGTGATATAAAATTCAAGAAATATTTTATGGATGGTCCAAACTAAAAAATCACACATGAAAGAAGTTATGACTTATGTTTTAATATATAATTGATGTTAGGAGTTTTTGAGGCTCCTAAAACAAATGTTGTAGTATAGATGATTGTCGAACCAGTTCTGAGGGATTTAAAAGCACCGAGAATACAAGTACTAGCTTAATCTAAGTGCGATCATGTGATTGATTGGTTTTTAAGGTTAACTAAAACTAGAATGCAATAAAAGATATAACTTTGACAAAGAAAATAAAGGAGAACTCATGGGTATAGGGAATTTGACCTTGGGTGATCAAGTTTCGATCTAAGGATGGCAAGCGATCAATTAAACTGTCTACCTTAGGTCTAGATACGATTCTAAACAAGCTCTATGTCTAGATGAATGTTCATTTACTACCATAACTCAAGCATCAAATGTCTTTGGTTGAATATTATGAAAGTAATCATTAGGAATAAATCTATTAGCCATCTTAATACCTTTAACAACAAGTGTCCCTGGTAAAGACTGTTAAAAGCTTAAGAGAATTGACTCAGACATTTCATCAAACACTTTGTGAGTGGGAAATGTCTAGAGATCAACTTTTGCGTGATCAATTCAAAAGAGGCATTATGGTTACTCTAATAAGCAAGGAACAAGAGAAATCTAACACTAAAACATCCTAAATCTAACCTAATCACCCTTAATCTCCCTAACCCATGAATTCAAAAGGTGATTACTCACTAATCTCCATGATTCCTCTTAAACCCATATTGGATTTCAGATTAATCATGTAGAGAAATAGACANAACCCATGAATTCAAAAGGTGATTACTCACTAATCTCCATGATTCCTCTTAAACCCATATTGGATTTCAGATTAATCATGTAGAGAAATAGACAAGAAATCAACAAGAACACAAGATGAAAGCAATGAAATTTTGAATCAAAAGAAGTTTTCTTCAAGAACAAAAGATTCTTTGCCTCTGGAGGCTTACAACATACTTACACTTAGGTTTTTCCAACACAAAACATAAAAAACGAAATTGCAAAAAGGTCCTCGAAACACATTATTTTCGACCAAACATAGGCGCGCAGCGGGGTCACAACCCCGCTGCCAAGACCCCGCTGTGAAGCCTCTTTCTTTTCTCTCGAACGCGAGCGACGCCTTGACTCCGCCCCGGGGGTCCGCTGTGGGCGTGGAGCGACCTCCCGACCCCGCTGCCAAGACCCCGCTGTGGCGCTCTTCTTTTCTATTGAACGCGAGCGACGCCCTGACTCCGCCCCGGGGGTCCGCTGTGGGCGTGGAGCGACCCCCCGACTCCGCTGCGTGACTCCGCTGTGGGCGTGGAGCGACCCCCTGACTCCGCTGTGG